TTGAGGGGAAGAAAGAGGTTGCTACAATTTCAAAATATGCTATTTTCCAATTTTCACACAGTAGACCCTGGTCATTGCAGAATTTTTAATAATATAGTTTTGAGCTTCTACGGTATGTAGATTTTTGTAGTAGGGGAAGGAACAGGTTGCTACAATTTCAAAATATGCTATTTTCCAATTTTCACACAGTCATTGCAGAATTTTTAATAATATAGTTTTGAGCTTCTACGGTATGTAGATTTTTGTAGTAGGGGAAGGGACAGGTTGCTACAATTTCAAAATATGCTATTTTCCAATTTTCACACAGTCATTGCAGAATTTTTAATAATATAGTTTTGAACCTTTTTGTTAATTGTTTCATTTTAAAATTGTGGGCATGGCTCTTTAGTGTTCTAGAAATAGTAATCTTTATCTAAGCAAGGGGCTAGCAATGTTCTTTTTGTTTGGAAAAATGTTTGTGATGGGTAAAAAGATTGAAACCCGCTCTCCAAACACTGGTGCATAAAACCTTTGAAAATAACAGCAATTCAAAAGTTTTATATACTAGTGATCGGAGAATGGGTTTCAATCTTTCTATCTACCACAATCTTTCTATCTACCACCGAAGGAGATGAACGTGAACGCGATGACGTAGCCTTTGTGGGTACCACGGATGCGATAGATAAAGTGGTTGAAATAGCCCTGTGAAATGGCCAAAGAAACGCTGGGCAAGCATAATCTAATTGTCAGCGAGACGAAGACTATAAGAAGAAAGATTGATAAAACGAAAGAGTCAACAAAAGGAATGAAGGCACTTGGAAGTCTGCTAAACGTCAATGGAGAGATAGCACACCGCAAAAGATTACCGGAGGCGGTCAAAAGTAGAAGATGGGCATACCTCGGCCACAACATCCGGTACAAGGGTCCGGCGAAGAAGGCAATGGAGGAATGCGAGAGACTGGAAAAAAGTCGATAGAAAAGAAGGACGCCCGATGAAGAATTTGGCGACGATGGCGAAGGAGGAGATGAAGAGTCGAGAAGCTATGGAGGACGACGCACAAGACAGAAGCACCTGGAAAGCGATGCGCCCAGACGCGCGGAAAGATCAAGAAAAAACCCAGCCATCTAAACGACTACTTTCTATGATTCTCCCGTATCCTTTCCTCAAGGAAAGGCTAGGATTATCAAGGATATTTTTTTACACATCTGTGTAACCTTCGTTATTTTCCTTTTGAATGTATAACTTCCAAAAACGATTTTTGATTGTACAAACTTAGATAAATGCCTTTAAAAATCTCAAGGCATTCTTAGACACACTAAATTTGTTTGTCAGCCACTCCATAAAGTGTAATGCGTCAGAATAGGGATTGAAAACGTGAAATTTGAAAATAAGTAGACCAAGCTGAAGAAAGCTCAATCAGAAAAGCAAGCAAATGGCAGGTATTGTTAAGGTTACCCAATCAATGCTAGATGCATAAAGATTTTAAAAGTGAAATTTAACTCTTATGGTATATTGCTTTTAATCTTGGACTTACCTACTTTTACTCTCTGATCAATTTGGTCCTACAACATACTTAGCTTCAAGTTGGTGCAAAAAATTTCATAAAACTATACTTTTTAGTGGTAGGAGTGCGAGCCAGAGGACCAAAGCAGTTGGTTAAATGAAAAAACAGTTGGTTATGGCTTTTTTATTTGACTTTTAAACTTTCAGGAAAACATTGCCATTTTATTTGACTGAAAAAATTCTAGCAGATAGGGTTGCCCAGTTAATATTATCTTCCAGTATATGCTGGTAAGAAAATCAGTTCCTGCTTTCTTAAATTGTTTTGCTCTTTTTCAATAGGATGTAACAAATGAAATACTTCAACCTCTGAATTGAGAATTGCATAGAGCTAACAAATGTATCATTTTTTTTCAAATCACTTTGAAACAACCAAATAAAAAATTTTGGTCACAGTTTCTGGTGTTCATACTGTAAGGAATGTGAAACAAAAGGTAGCTATGACATGTTTACATTTTTCCATGCAATTTTCAAATTTTGCTGTACAAAAGGCTTTCTCTCCCCCCTCCCTCCCCCAGTGAGAGAAATATTTCTTACAAAAGTGTGGTTTCTCAATTTAAGAAACCAGACCAGAGTCTCATATATAATGGGAATGTTGCCATGCATAAGACCACCATTAAACAAAGCCTATAGAAGATGAAAAAGGTGCATCTTAGGAGCCTTTCTCTGCAAGGTGACATGCTAAAACCCCATATAGTATATGGCCATTAAAGGACCCAGTTGAGCAAAATGTTCCTAGGGTGAAACACCATCGTTCAATAGGGGAACCAATATGGAATAAAACAGTGCTCATCATGAGAATCTTTTGCATTTAATGCTTTATGAAAGGAAATGAATTAAAAAGGCTCTTTCTTCAGTCTTGATGCCATATTTCTTTGGATAAAGGATGACCATGCCAAAAAACAAAAGGTCACTTTTACAGCTAGGATACAGTAACTGGCACGAAACAGTTCAAAGAAATGGCCTGAAATGTGACCCAAAAAACCTACATTACTGAGCCCCCCGGTGAAAAATCTTGCAGGATCCTACAGGATCCTGTGGGATCCTAGGAGGATCCTAGATTTTTAGGATCCTGGACAAGATCCTACCACAAATCCTGCAAGATCCTGTGTGCATAGGATCTGATGCAAGATCCTACATAAGGATCCTGTAAGACAAACACAACTTAAGATCTTACACAAGATCCTACCAAAAATCTTACAGGATTTTAAAACAGGATCTTGAATGGGATCTTGCTAGGATCCAGAATGACATTGTAGGATCTTACAAGAACTAGATTAGGATCTTACACAAAACAATTCCAAGATCCTATTGAATTGTGACATGGATCCTGTCAGGATCTTGAATATAAAGATAGGATCCTGTACAAATTCAAACAGGATCCTGTTACATTCTGACCAGGATCCTTCCAGCATCTTGAATCCTAAATGTATAGGATCCTATACAAGACCTTACATAAGGATCCTGTAGGAGATAAACAGCTGAAGATCTTACACAGGATCCTACCAAAAATCTTACAGAATTCTAAAACAGGATCTTGAATAGGATCTTGCAAGGATCCATAGTGACATTGCAGGATCTTACAAGAACTAGATTAGGATCTTACACATAACGATTCCAAGATCCTATTTGATTGTGACATGGATCCTGCCAGGATCTTGAATATAACGATAGGATCCTGTAGAATCTTAAAGAGGATCCTGTTACATTCTGACCAGGATCCTACCAACATCTTGAATCCTAAGCGGTGGTGTAGTGCTATCAAAAAAACAAGGGGGGCTCTTGCACAAAAAGTTGCAAAAAACAATAGAAAAATATAAATTTGCCAAGTTTTGGCATTAACAAGGGGGGCTCAGCCCCTAGCACTACACCCCTGATCCTAAGTGTATATCAATCGATTTCGTGGACTTTTGATGCAGCAAAGCGCAAGAAAAACAAAACATATGATCATATCAATCTCTGATGTATATAAATACCACACCCTTTAGTTTAGCTTTTTCAAATACATTTCAGAATTATTTCTTCATGTCACTTTCATGTATTGGCTTAAATCGATTTACTATTTTTAGGCATACTCTTTTTAAGTTGAATTAATTCCATTTTTAAAATGGAACTCATTACTTTATGTGGCCCCTTAGATGCTAGACGTTGATTCTCTGTTGCAGTTTGCCCCCTCTTCCCAGAGGCGTCGGCATAGGGGGGTACGGTGGGGGTGTGGTATCCCAACAATTTGTTGGTCGGCACAGTAAGGATTTTTTCTGGGCACTCGCTCTGCAACCTTTTTGCAACATTTCTGTGTAGTTGAACTATCAAAGTATGGCACTAGAGAATAAACTTTGAAACAGAAAGGAATAAAAGCAGCATGCAAGAGTATTTATCTTTTGACCACACCCTTAAAGAATGAAACACGCCCTTTTTTGTCGGCAAAAATCGCCTCTTCATCCCTCTAAACAATTTTCTTGGCACTCCTGCACTCTTCCCCAACTCTTGGGGGCCCTGGGCATGTTCAGGCTATCAATTTTCTTTTTAAGGTTCAAAAAGTTTGAAGTTTATCTAAAAGGCATAAAATTCGTCCGCCATAATTAAAGCACCAGTTTTATAACGGAGCCGCTTTCCATTTTAGCACTGCACAAAACCGTTTTGTCATTGCACAAATTGGTTATCATTGCACCCCAAATTAGATATGCTGTCGGGTAAATATGGTTATAGAAAACGATGTTGAACTGGAAAGAATATTTTTCAAATAACTTGTTTTCGACTTATTCAAAATCAGGGACTTTCAAGGGGTGATCGTGCT